GCCGCGGGCGGCGCGGGGGCCAGGCCCGATCTGTGCTGGGTGTCCTTACAGGTCCGTTAGTCAGCGAAACTTTCTGCCTGGGCCCCTGCGTGCGTTCTGCGCTGTGCGAGGAGCGACGGGGCAATCGCAGCTGCTCCTTGCGCCGCTACCTCTGCCTTAGCCGGCAGCGAGGGCAGGCGATGGCTCCCCTCCCCCTTGGGCTGAGTTTTGTCGTCGGCGATCCATCTTTTTTCTCCAGTGTCGGTGCCGGATATAATGATTGTAGAAAGTAGATTTTTCTGACCTTGCCTGGCTTTTTGCATGCGTAAAATGGAAATCCTCTATTTTTATTGGGTTTACAAAACCTCATATTTCTAAACATGTTCAGTAATACTGCAACAAAAGTTAATACAGCAATATTTTTGTTAACCCTGTAAATACTTATTTAACTTACAGGCTTGTGGGGTTATAGTGGAACTGATCAAAAGCAAGAAAATGGCAGGCAGAGCTGCTGTTGGCAGGACCTCCTGGAACCGGCAAGGTATTCTTTTTCTTTTTTATATATGAAATAAAGTATTCCCAAATCTGTTTAATTTGTTGTCAAAAACATTTTAAGGTAGTGGTTGTATAATGTTTTCATCGACTGGAATTTTTTTTTATCAATGTGTTGACATAGTTTCCTGCTTTATATTTAGATTTTTGCTGTGTCATCAACATTGGCACTGTCTAGTGGTGTGTTCAGGCATCATTAGTGTGAAACTACCTCTTGTAGGTTACCAAACACATAGGTAATATGGTCTAGGAAAAAGAGTCTTAAAAGTTAACTTTTCATAAAAGCTTAAATAGTTCTTGCTTTGGTGTCTTTCCCATATGTCGTCGTTCCCCAACCTCACCGTGCTATTTAAGGCTTTTTGCCTTTGTATCAGATGTCAGATTCAAATATGCACTATTGTTTCACTTAAATAGTTCTTGCTTTGGTGTCTGTCCCATGTGTCGTCGTTCCCCAACCTCACCATGCTATTTAAGGCTTTTTGCCTTTTTTATCAAATGTCAGATTCAAATATGCAGTATTGTTTCGTTAAGGTGTGTTATAAGTCTTTGCTAAAAGTCACTCTATACGTCCAACTTGTTTTGGATGGAGGAGGGTTGTTATATGTGAGAAATTCACGTCAGATTAGTCTTACATTAATAGTTGATATATGGAAGGTGATGTGATGAGGAAACTTAACTTTGTGCAGCACCAATCCTTTGTTAATTCTCATAAAAACTGATGTGTGGGGGTTTTGTTTCTGATTTTTTTTTTTAAGACTGCTTTGGCTTTAGCTATTGCTCAGGAACTGGGAAGCAAAGTTCCCTTTTGTCCTATGGTTGGAAGTGAGGTCTATTCCACTGAGATCAAGAAAACAGAAGTTCTAATGGAAAACTTTCGACGTGCAATTGGTAAGTTTCTGAAAAAAACCAGAAGAATTAAGGATTTGCATGACACTTACTTTGCTTTTCCCCACTCATCTAAAAAGGAAAAACGTTTCAGTGGTCATGGTAGTTTTCAGATTATTGTATGTCCTTGTTTTTCAGTGCTGATCCTAATTTAGTGAATCCCTTCCACACTTAGTGGTCAGGTTTTCTGTTTATAAACCATAATTTAATTGTTGGATTATGGTCTGTTCTGCTTCCCCAGAGTCTCTTCACATTGTGACTCTGAATAAAGCTGAAAGAAAAATCATTTTTAGTCTTTTACATTAGCAGAAATACTTGTAGACAGAAAAATGCTCTCTTCTTTTTCATTTTAGTGATTGCACCCTACTAAGCCAAAAGTCTTAATCAGGGACTCCCAGATGGCAGTGTTAGCCTGACGCAGTATTCCCATGAGCACAAAGAAAGTTCCATGCCAACAAAATAAATACTTGAACTTTATGTATTCCTCAGTCCTAGAGTGCTTTTACAAGCTTGATGCAAATTGGTTAAACTTGCAACACAGCCTCAACGAGTATCTAAAATCTCTTACGTGATCGCTGCCAACAGCTGCTAAACGCAGCCAGAAGTGGCCCTTGTTTGAGGATTGGCTAAAGAGAGCCTTACTGATTTTAGTACTGAATATATTAACAGTTAATTTTCCTGGTTTCTGTACCATGTTTTCATGTTTTGGACTTCATCTAAGTATTTGGTGGCAGTAAGGTAAAGAAGTCTCTGAGTTCTGCAGTGAAACAAAAGTATTTCATTGACTTATAAGAAAGAAACTCTCAGTAGTCTGGTCTCCTAGTTACTGTGAATCTGGCAGGGGCTGGGGGAGGGAAGCCAGGGACTGAGTAGTCTGCAGTATTTCCTTGATGTGATGAAGGTCCCTGTCAGAGATTTGGAAACCTGAACCAACAGATGAAACTTCTGCCATCCATGTTGTCATTTCTAGAGACAGCAGTATTTTAACTCTCTGAGGTTTAACAGCCAGCTACATTGTTAGTTCCCTGCATTCCCGGAATGTCAATAGACACACGCTTCTAAACAAATACTGGTGTTAATGAAAGATGGAACCACTTTTATTCCTTTCTGTTGAATTCTGTGTCACGTTTTCATAACACAACCTTTATTGAATGAGGTTTTTTATCAGTGTAAAAAAATCTCTGAAATATTTTAAAGGACTAGTAACCACCATTTCTTGTAATGGGACACTTTCTAATCATGTTTAGATCTCAGTAATGTTTTAGCTTCCCTGCCTGAGAAATAATTAATTTACAAGGGTACGTTTTCAGAAAAGGATTTTGACTGTGCAGTGCAGTGTCGGCTGTGCAGTGTCGGTGCAAGTGCACCTGAGGCTCACATGTCAGTTGGTACCTAAAGTACTCCTTTAGGATTTGTTTGGTTTGGTTTTGGGTTTTTCGGTATGATTCCTTATTAGCAGGTTCTGTATATGCCATCTGTGGCTCGTATTGTGTATTTTACTTTTGGGTGTTTAGCCACCTCAGTTTATAAAATTATCAGGGATGTTAACATCAGTTCTTTTACAGAATCTTTTTTGTTTTCTTGGAAACAAGAGTCTGGTTTGGATCCATCACTGTATAAGGAAATGGGGGTAACTCCCAAGTTTACAGGATTTTTATTGTTGGGATCTTTCAGTAACAGACTTGACTTTGTCTCGTGGCCAAGTACTGTTTGGGGTACAGCAGAGAGTTTATAATATGTAAGAAGCATAAGAGGACAGAGTGGGAAATCAGAAGATGGAATTGTATGGGTGGAAAAAAACTTCAGCTGAGAGATATGAATCCTGTGTAGAGCTTATTAGCAGCAGGCAGGGATGATGACAGTAGCTAATGTTAGAGCTCAGTTGCAGTAAAAAATAACTGCTGGAATAGCCACTTAAATAGCCTCTCTGTTGCCTGTCTCCAAACTGTAACTGCCAGTAAATCAAACAAGCACTATGTAACTCCATATAGTGCTATTGAATCCAAACGTGAAATAGTCCACAATTGCCATCTTAGACTTGTGCCTCTGATTTGTAAGTAGGAAATCTCTCTGTTTAAGTCCAGGAGCTCTTTTGGGTATGAAGTTCTTAATGGATACGTGCAGATTCATTTGAAAGCAAAGGATAATGAGCAGCAACTCCAGAGCATCAACTACCTTTGTCCAGATCGTGTAATCTGTAAATATTTTCCTATAGGCACGTCTCTAGGAGCACATTAGTTAGATTACAGGCACAGTTTTGAAGCAAATCTCTAGGTTGCCCTTACTGACTCGGCTTTGCAGACTCTGAGCATGTGATTCTCTTCAAATGAAATGAAGCTGGAAGATGGGCTTTAGCAGCATGCAAAACACACCCCAAACACAAATGGGCTTCCAGTTTCTCAGAGCAGAATAGAGCTTGTGCTGAAAGTTTAAAAACAAAACAAAAAGGAAACCAAACCTGTGAATGCCCAGTTCTCAGCACCAGCAGTTTTCCTGTAGACTTTCTCATGCTGCTTCACATTCCTTGCAGCGTAGCCTGTGTGATGCACACTTTGCTGGTCTTATAACTCAAAGGTTTGTGAATTTTTTGTCTGATGTTTTGGCTTCTTCTTTGTCTGAAAAATATATGTATAAAATACTGACATTAAGTTGATTTAGAAATGTTAATGTAGTGCTAAATAAGAGAAAGCAAACATTTCTTACCAAGAAATTGTCATGTTATCCACAATTAACCTATTTCTCGCACTTCAGATCCTAGCCTTAATTTGGGTCCAGTAGAGGGAGACAGACTCGTAGTTGTCAGTCCTTTCTATTTCCCTATCAGCAGCTCAAGATTACTGGTGAAGTGTCTGATCTGTTTCAAAGCAAAATGAAAAGTTACGGAACAAGGAAAGTTTTATAAAGCCTTAATAGCCCCAGACTGGGCAGGATGACTTCCTTATATCTTGTTACAGCCCATTCATTAGTTTTGGTATGGCATGTGTGTCTCATAAAATACTTTATAGACTCTCTTCAGATGTGGGTTCTTTGAACTTTTATGCAGTTAGAACATCTGCATATTTGTAGTGGTGGTGGTGGTGATAGTGGTTTTTCTTTGGACAGTCTAACCATAAAACTCTTCAGCTCTGTATTATTCATCGATTTAAAATAACTTGGTTAATTACAATAGTTGTGGCTAGAATAGAAGATATCCAGATACTGTGATGATTGCTGAACTCTCTGAAAACCAACAAAGTAATGTTTGTCGTTGTCAGCTATTTTGAAATAGTTTCAAATTTGCATTATAGTAGATTCTGATAACTTTTGTCTAGCTCACCTTTTGATATTAACTTGAAAAATATTTTAAATGATACATTAACATTTTCTTAAATTTATGAGGTTCTAACACAATACCTGTTAACCAATTTATGTTATTTTTAACTCAGTTGATAAAATTTGAAGTTTTCTATGAAGTTACTCTTTTTTTTTCCCTTCTGTCTTTTTCCTTACTTTGCAGGGCTTTTCTGATGGTACAAAAATTGTGTAAAACTCAGTTATATTAGTGTCACTTACCTTTAGTTTCAGAAGATGAACTGTGTCTCTGGCGTCAGGGAACAAATGAAGCAAATGCCCTCTTTGGGAGAGGTAAAAGAGGGAGGATAATAACATTTGCTTCAAGAACTAATAATAATGGGTGGAAAAAAAATAATTTCTTAGCATTTAATGAACTGTTTTGCAAGTTCACGTTGGGCTGAACTTTGACGCAGGATGAATGTTCTCAATACTGAAGAAGAAAACAATAATTGCTCTTTCTACTTTTAAATGTAAAAAACTACCATCAAATGTAATGTAGCCTAATAATACATTACATTCTGTTGGCAGTCATGCAGCAGACACCTGAGTGTATACAGCCAATGATTTATGTGTTGAAACTATTCTAAACAATTTCTTGCAGGGTTGAGGATTAAAGAGACCAAGGAGGTTTATGAGGGAGAGGTCACAGAACTAACTCCATGTGAGACTGAAAATCCTATGGGGGGTTATGGCAAAACAATCAGCCATGTTATTATAGGACTCAAAACCGCAAAGGGAACCAAACAGTTGAAGGTATGTATGGTGGAGGCTCAAACATTTCCTCAAGATCTGCAGCTTCTATTTTTACCATATTTCCATTTTAAGCATTTGATCCCTATCTCTGTAGAGTGGGGATGCAAGGAAGCTGTTTTCTTTAGCCAGACAAGTTTACCCTGCTCCTGAGCATATATACTTATTTGCTTTATGTAGATGTTAATCTTGTCTCCTCCTAATTCAAACTGGGGATAAACCCATCAGGCAGTTACCAGCCCCTGTTATTTTTCTGTTTGGCAGCACACGTTTGTATGTCTTCAGTGAGTTAGAGGAGAATGTAAGCAGGAAGAGATCCCCTATGCAGTTTTGCAGCTTTACTAGCACCCCAGAAAAATGGGCTGAATTGGGAATCTGAACTAGGATCTGTCTCAGTCTGTGATATGCTCACACTGACCCTAGCTATAAATTTGTGTTCATGATAACAAACATATGAGAAAGGTCTTGTTTGGTTTTGTTTTCCCGATTCTCAACTGAATTTTTGAGGCTGGTTTTGAGAAATCTTGCCTGCTTCAGTATAAATTGTTATTTCTGTCACATCCCACCTTTCTACGTGGGGAGATGCGCTCTAGTGAATATTTGATAGAGAACTGGAAATTGAGCTGGTATGTTGCCAGCTCAGACCCACTTCCCTTTGTTTTCTTGTACAAGTCCCTGTCCATGTTGTTCCATTTCCCTGTCAGTCAGAATACGAGAGATCTGAAAGCTGCCTCTGCTATTAGGTATCATCTTGCATTTGTTTGCCTGAAAACGAGAAAATGCAGAGCAATAGTGAATAAATGTGAACTGAGAGGAACTAAACCATGTAACGTGTTCCACATTCACTCCCCCTCACACAGCTCCACAGGGGATACAGATTCAAGAAATCAAGGAGTTATAGCCAGATTTTTTATGTGGTTAAATAGCAATAGCGAGATACGTGCTGCATCCTAGGTATAAATATATCGTCGCATTACACTCTGTGATAGTAACTGGTATTGTGTTTCTGGCACTTGCTGTCACTTCCTTCAGGTAGCAGATCGTTTGGTAAAAAAGTTCTGTGCATCTTCTTTCAGGTGTATTCTCTGTCTACCCCAAGCGTTACAGCTTTATAAAATCCTTGAGGTATTGCTGGGGGAGTCACAGTTTAATTTTGTCTGGTGGGGGTGAGCTTTAGACTGAATTCCCCTTCCTTGATTACCATAACAATACGGAACCGTTTGGACCAACTGTGATGTTTGTTTGTCTCCAGCTGGACCCGAGCATATTTGAGAGCCTGCAGAAGGAGCGAGTGGAAACTGGTGACGTTATTTATATTGAGGCAAACAGTGGAGCCGTCAAGGTAAAAGTCCTGAACTTTTATGCAGGTGTAGGTATTGTTGCAGACCTTCCTCTGCCTTTGTCAGAAGGCTTTCCGATTTATTAACCTTAACTGACAGGAAATGGTTACAATGGTAAGTTTTTTAGAGCCTAGTGTTTTCCTTATCTGGAGAGAAAATTCTCTCTTGCACTGAAAGAACGTGGTCATCTGGTTCACAATTAAGGTCATCTGGCGAGGAAGCTATCACTGATGCTGTCTGGATGAGTTTTCTTTTCTGTAAGATCAAGACATCTTTAAGGGAAGGGGAGAAAAAACAAGCAACTTTAGTCATTTTCAGGCTGACATGTGCAGTGTATTTAATCTTTTCTTTTATCGCTCTGGTATTTTCTCCACAAGATATATACATGTAGAAGGGAGTAGTGCATTAGTTAGCATTCTTTTCATATCTGATTTAGAAAGTAGTGTACAGTGATACTTGCTGTTTAATGGATGAGCATAATATTTTGTATCATATAATAAATCACCCACCTACAAAGGAGTCTTGAACAGTACTCCCAATCTCTAGTTAATCTGCTGGATTTGTCCTTTAGCAAGAATTGCATACGGTTAAAAGAAGGGGAGAGAGGAGTGGAATACTCTTACCACTGCAAATATCAGGTATTTTTCAACAGAGTTTTTGAGCTTTGATCAGTAGATAGGGTATGCCTGTTGCTAAGCAGGGAGTGGGATGTCTGCATTGTCAACTGAAGCTTTCAGGACTGGAATTGTGAACCCAACCCTTTATCAAGTTCATGTCACTCAAGGTTTTAGCACTGAAACTAATTCTATACCTGGGTTTCTCTTTGCTTTTCCTTAGAGGCAGGGCAGGTGTGATATCTATGCTACGGAATTTGACCTTGAAGCTGAAGAGTATGTTCCCTTGCCAAAGGGTGATGTGCACAAGAAAAAGGAAATTATTCAGGATGTCACCCTGCATGACTTGGATGTGGCCAACGCTCGACCTCAGGTATCTGACTCCACAGATGAAGTCTTTACAGAAAAAGTATTTTGCATAGATGTGATGGGTACCACAATGATCAAGGATGTGTAGAAAGCTTTGAGCTGTCCTAAGTCATCCTTAGAGATTCCCCTGTATTTTACCTCGAAGGCCAGTCTCCCTCCTCTCTGGAGGGAGGTCACACTGCGGTTGGCTACCTCAGTGCCCCTGCCACACGGGTCAAAGAGACAGTTGCAAGGTTAGGATTCATGCACTTAGTCATGGGATATTTGTCTGAGTATCTTTCCTAACACTACAGAGAACAGCCTTATAGCCATAGTGGAGCTTTCCGATGGATATCTGGCATCTGCTACCTCACAGTTAATGCATAATCTAGACCTAGCTCTCCCCTCTGCCACTGTGCCCCATCCCCTGAAGAAAGAGAGCAGTGTGGGATTCCTCCTGACCAGCAAAAGAGATTACTGCTTTCTCTCCAGAAGGAAAGGTGCCTACAGACGTGAGGTAGTAGCAGCCAGATTGGCATAATTTTATTTATGGAAAGTTTTGTGTGCAGAGGAATTTATTCTGTTCTGTGTTTATGATTTTGTGGCCGTGAAATGAAAACTGGAAGCACTGTGATAAAAGGTCACTAAGTATTTTTGACTGCTGCAGATGCTGTGGATGTCCCTGCTTCCTTCAGAAGTGCTTTATAACCTCTTGTTAAATTTCCTTTTGACTTTCAGTAGAACTCTGAACGTATTGCAGCAAAACAAAATTGCAAACAGGAGAATTACTCCTTGCTGTATCTTAACATAAATGTAGTGTTTTCACGTGAACACGAACCCAGGAATTCAGTTTCTGTCATAAACAAAAGCCACTAACCAAGTTTCTTGGTTTAAAGGCTGACATCCCTACAGTATGATACTACAAGCCCTTAACCTACTCCATTTCAAAACAAGCATCCTTTTTCCAATAAAATCATTTACATGATAAAAATCAAGGTGTTCAACACTCTTAAAACTCAGCATAATGTTCCTGTGTTCACAGGTTGAACACCTACTGTATGTGCAGGCAGTCCAAATCTCTGTGTTCCTTGAGAATTTTAGTCCGTACGTGCTCTGTGACAATATTTTTTAAAAGAGGATATCTCGTGGGTTTTATATGTTCTCCCAATGAATGAGACTAAAAGGGTGAGGAGATAGCTAAATGTTATGTTTAGAATACTGCTGTAGTGATGTGACTTAACCTTTGACAGATTGTCAACCACTGCTCATATAAAGTATTAGTTAACTGCCAGAAACAACTTCTGTAACCAATTCCTGATTTATGAAATGCTCATGGTATGTGTTCACTATGAGACCTCAGAGCTGATCTGTAACTTTCTTTTCCTAGGGTGGGCAAGACATCCTTTCAATGATGGGACAACTCATGAAGCCTAAGAAAACCGAAATTACTGGTATGAATCCTGCATGGTATTTTTAGACCAACATCACCTCTATGTTTGCCAGTTAGAAAAGGGTTAAAATTAAGGTTATTCATGCAGCATCTCTAAATGAATGCCTACCTAATATTTATCCATACATATTCAGATTTCAAAAAGCAGTGATACAACTGCTAGACTTGCAAGGGCTGGAAGCAGCACAACATGTTATTGGTTCATGTAAAAAGGGATAAAATATGTACGGTACTCTGCACCTATCTTCCTTGGGAGAAGGAGGTTAGAATACTAGTGCCATCCCTATTTCTCAAAATAGGGAGAGTGTCAGGTTCGCACTTTGACAAAGAGCCAAACTTCTGCCCCGGGGAGTGTCAGGGTCGCACTTTGACAAAGAGCCAAACTGAAAAACATGTAAAAACCATTCGGATGCGTGCTTATGAGAAGCAGTCATACTGAATTTCTGTGGAGTAGAAAAATGTCTTCTAAAAACTAACGTTGGTTTGACTTAGACATCTCTCTAGCAGCTGTCTGTGTCTTGATGCTCTGAGTGCACTGCTGCTCTTCCTACCTACAGATCATTGGAGAAAAAAAGATCCATAGAAAGATCGGTTCTCCTTTTTGCTTTGAAAGGAATGATGTTGCAGTAAGCGACTATCTAAATTTAGATCAAAGTCTGTTCCAATACCTAACTTGAATGGCGGTCTTTTGAAGTATTCCCTCTGTTCCAGAGGTCACTTTGCTTATTGTAATGTCAGATTTATTGATGTAACATCTTGCATAGCTTTGACATCCATATGTTCACAGAAATTTATATAGCCTCTTTTTTTTTTTTGTTAAACACAACTTTTTTTGTGAAATACAGTAGCAGTATTTTATTCTTTCGGTCATGTTCTTTTCAGCCATGCTTGGAAACCTTGTTGTGTTTCGTGTTTTAAACTGAGGTTTGACTGACTTCCCCTGGCCAAACTCCCCCCAAACCCACAAACCATGGTTTTCCACAAGCTGTGTGAGGGGGAAGCCTACCCCAGTGAAGTGTGAGAAGTTTGGTTTAGAAGTATTTTGTTGCACAGATGTCTCCCCAATACTGGACTGAATGCCATAGAATTCCAGTGTCCCAGAGATTTTTCCCTGCCACGGTAGATTTCAGCTGCAGCAAGCCTTTCATACGGACCTGCGGTTCACCAGCAGAACAGCTGACAGGTTGTGTTTGTTCTCAGACAAACTTCGAGGAGAGATAAATAAGGTGGTAAATAAATACATCGATCAAGGCATCGCAGAGCTGGTCCCAGGTGTACTCTTTGTGGATGAGGTTCACATCCTGGATATTGAATGCTTCACGTACCTGCACCGAGCGCTGGAATCTTCCATTTCCCCCATTGTCATCTTTGCTTCCAATCGAGGAAACTGCGTTATCAGGTATGTCATCTAACTTGAATTTTCCAGTTTGCATTGGACCCTAAACGTTGGCATTAGGTGTATCAGTAGAGCACCAGAGCCTCTAATATCAGGGTTTCCTGCTGCTTCTGCGTGATTTTGCTGTTTTCTAGCCTCATTTCATCAGACTTAAGCTTCCTGTTCTTACTGTTAAAGCATGTCACAGTTCACCCTCTCCCTACGCTTCGTTACTTCCCGCTGGGTTGGTCTGGCTTTTTGTGATTCTTCAGCCTTGCCAACTAACTTCTTTTTCATCTCCACTCCAGTTCGTGCCTCCACTTCAGTATTCTGCACCCACACAGTGCATTCTTTGCGTGTTCAGTAACAGTGCTCTTCTCTTCCAGATTATTCCTTAAATTCTACTGCTAATTTGTGGTCTAGGTCTAATTATGTCTAAACAAGCTGTCATTAGCAATGATTGCTACTCTTTAAATTGATTTAATTCAGCTGCTCTTCCTTTCGCTCTCAGTGGCTCATCTGGTATTAATCTTTCTCTGTTTGCATTGCTTAAAAGTTAAGGTGATAAGCCCTTCAAAAATATTTAAGGTCAACATTGCAAAGGCATAAAAAGCTGCCTTTAAAAGTAAAGCAAACAGAGACCTGTCATCATGGATTCACTGCAGATCTTGGTGTGAAAAAACTCTGAGAAAGGAAGATTTCTGTAAATAATTGTATCTAATATTAGGAAATTAAGTCCTTAAAAGCAAGGTCTTGACTGTATACTACTCTCTCAAGTAGTTAGCGGTGCTCTGATTTGTCTGCTGATGGCTTTTCAAGGGGGTGGGGAAAAATTAATTGTTTAGGATAGTTGGTGCTGTAACCTCATAAGAGAAGGAATCGTTTCAGAGGAGACACCGCTCAAGAGTACAGCAGATGACTGCAGGGCACTGATTCGTTTCCCAAGGAGGACCGTGACCAAAGCTGCAGTGCCTAAATACTAGCACTGAGCTTGGAAATGTAGTTCTGTACCAACACTCTGCTGTTTTTACCTGCAGTCTCTATAGATCTCATGAAATCTGGGTATCTTTCACTCTTAACTTCACAGCAGGTGGTGGTGATCTTGGAAAACCAAGAGTAGGTGTGTCTGCAGCCTTTGCTGTTGGGTGTTCTGTATCAAGCAAATAAAATCGTTGGGGGTCTAGATCCTGCTCTGTCTTTCATCTTGCTCATCCTCTACTTTCCAATGTGCTGGACTGCAAGCATGAAACATGAACTACTGCAGTATTCACTGGAGGGACAGGGGGAGGGACTGAACAGAGTCTTGGCAGAGGGAATATTCTCCAAATGGATGATAGCGTATATGATTTCTACTGATACTGCTCTACAGCTTAGTAGGAATGATTTCTTCCTTGCTGGAAGATACGTTGGACTGTATTGTAAGATACAGTGCAGGAAAGCGTGAAGGAAAGCACCACCTTTAACTGGTTTTGAGTGGCATGTTTAAGAGCTCCAGCATTCCCTGGGGCTGTCCAGTATGAACTGCAGCTGAGAATGTTTCCTGTCTCTGTCTGGGGAGTCTATGTCTTTGGGAAGACACAAGAATTGTAAGCTAGTAGATGTATAGTCAGTTATGACGGATTTCAGTCAAATCAAGTTATGAACTTGGAATAGCATCTGATCTTTTTCTGTTTGGTTTCTCCTCTAGAGGCACAGAGGATATAGTGTCTCCTCATGGAATACCACTGGACCTGCTGGACAGAGTAATGATTATCCGCACCGTGCTGTATACACCCCAAGAAATGAAGCAGGTATGCACAGCATTTTAAGAGAACCTTTCCAAAGTCCCCAGAGTTGTGGTCTGTTGGGACAACTGCGATGTGTCTGCATATTCTGTTGCTATAGAGCTGACCCACTCTTTGTGATCACCAGGGTTTGTGCCAGAAAGCTTACCACTTCCTAAACGCCCGCTGCTTTGGTAACCATTCACGATAAACCGGTTAAAACCGAGCATGCAACTTCTTTGGCAGATTTCCACCAACTGGTGTCGGAGTCGCTTTGGTAAGCGTAGCTATAGCTGAAAGTGACAGCTCGCTGGCACCCAACCTTCTCTCTTGCACAGATGTGCTTCCCGTGGAGTTGGCAGGTTCCAGCAGGTAGTGCTTTTTCAGTTGGTATGAGGTGAAGTGTTGCACTTTGGGACCTTTGGTCCCAGACCTCAATCTGTTTCTCCACGTAAGAGGTGAGAGGGATTGGGGAATGCGGCCTCACGCACTGCATTTTTGCCTCTATGCCGTGTGCTATAGCTTTAGCCTGCTAGGACTCTTTCCTGGAACTGGGAGGATTTCAATGCTCCTAGTCAAGTTTGGAGACGAGCACAGTAAGTGGCGCCGAGATAGGCTTCTGAACGCCTGAAACTTTTCCTGTGGGGCCATCACAACGTCTTGTGTATCGATTACAATGCTTGGGCGCTAGTATGATGCGTGGTGTCAAAGATCCCCCTCATTAGCCTCACAATGCTGTGAAATGACACCATGCAGAAGACATTACGGTTTATCATGTCAATTCTTTGTATTATTTAAGAGATAGTGTCAGTGGAGGAGAGCGTTGTCAGGAGATAATAGTCTCCTCCTGCTGGATAAGTGCCAAGGTGAAGCCGAGACATTTATCGAATATAAACGTAGAGGCAAAGCTTCATTTCCCTGGGTTTGAGGAGCTTTTCACATACGGCTTGTTCTCAGGATGATTTTTTTGTACCAAAAAGGACGTTCTAAAGCATCCTCGTAGGTTGCAGTAGAAGCAGCCCAGTGATTTAATCATACGACTGTTTTGTCTGTACACAAAACAACTTAAAGCCCGACTCTTAGTCTGGAGATGTTAAGGGCTGTTGTCTGCACTTCCCTACGCTCTGTGTGAATTTTGTGTAGTTAGGGTAGTAGGAGTACATGCTCTGAGTTGCTTTTTGTTAAGATTGCTACGTAGGACACCTGCCTAGTGTGCAGTATTACCATGCAGATGATAACACTGTTCAAGAGCTCGTTCCTGAACTGTTGCTTTTTCAGAAGAGCTGGGCAAATGCTGTTGTTTCCCCCCTCCCCAGGGGTGAGGGAAAGGAAGTGTTCACCGTGGCATTTCCTAAAGCTAAAAATAGAGTCCAGACATTAGGCCCCATAAATCACGTTTCTGTAGTCAGATAATCTTATCTTCCCTTAAATTAAGGTTTCTGAATGACTACTTCTCCTGGGAGAAGAGGGGGAGCTATTACACTTAACTTTGGTTTCTAACTAAATACAAGTCAGGGCGGGGTGTTACAAAGATGATGTCCATAAATTTACTTCTCTATTTTTGCTCCCACTGTTCTTTCACGCTAGGAAGAACTTTTCACTGCTGATGTTTCTGTGTGAGACTCTCTGCCTTTCACAACTGATTGATTTATCAGCACAAGAACTGCCCCTATATCTACCGAAAGTTTGTTCATAACCAGTTCAGAATGTTTTGTGTTGCTCGAGTAGAAGCCCCGTGGCGTAGCGCTGCTCTGAGAGCAAGCCCCACAGTTACCTTCGCGCAACCACAGGAGGGAGAAAATCCACTTTTACGCGTATTCTGGTCGGGTACTGTGGTAATCAAATTCTTTTTGCTCTCTGCCTGCTGTTAGAGGGTATAACTGGGACTTCTTGTTCCTAATGTATTTTACCTGACAAACACTTCTTTTCCTATTTCGTAGCAGCTTGCCTGTATGCGTATTTGCTGGGGTAATGCCTTGGGCCCCCATCCTTCAGCAAGGTTCTAAAGCTGGGGCATTCAAGGTACCTTTCTTCTGGCAGGGGAAGGATAAAGTAGGAGCATTTGAATGAAGGGAAGGGAATGTTTGGGGGATGTAGAAGATAGAACACAACCCCCTCCCCCAGTCTGAAATTGCAATTTGCAGCATCATTGCCAATATTCAGTATTAATACCTCAGCACAACTTCCTGCCATCTCAAACCCCTCTCTTCCCCTCTGTTCCCTACCCTAACTCCCTGAGCGCATTTTTATGGCTTTAATTTAAACGAGTGCTCCTTGATATCTTGTTTACAAAGCTGCCAAAGTGAAAAATACCTGTATTATATGAGGCTTGCAGTTCCAGAGTTATCTCAGCACTACAACACAACATCATTATCCAGTCTGCCCCTTATCACTCAGCTGGTAATACGGACTACCGAGGGACTTGTGCCACTTCTGTTACAGCTTTATATGCTCAGGCTTATTGGTGATATCTTGCTCTCCAACTTTGTAAAGATCTTCAAACTGGTACAAGCCCCAGACTGTTCTGGAAAGATTAGATTCTTCTTAGTGATTTTTTTCCTTCTTGCAGGAATAGGTGAATCACCAAAAGTAACTTTTTGATTTATTTTACTATCTTCTTGTCAATTGAATAAAAAGTGTGTTGTGAGCTGCTAAGGAAAGGGCGTAGCTTTCTGTAGGGCTTCTTGGAGGGCTCCGCTGTAGCGGCAGCGATGCGCCGCAAACTTAGCGAGTGGCGTAGCTGCCCACAAGGCTCCGGCTGTCGCTTCCTGCATCCTTTCTCCGTTCTGTGCGTGAGTTCTCATAGTTCTCTCCTTATTAGTAGATACGCTTTGCTAAACATGCAGAGTTATTGTGGAGGATTAGTGGTTGAGACACATCCCTTTACCTGCCTTTTGTGGTTAACAGTTTTTCAGCATTGTATTGCCTACTCAAAGACTTAACTCCACAAATTCTAGTGCAGTGGTGTGTTGCACTGGGAGAACTCCGCACCGTCTCTTCTCTAAGCTGAGGGAGTTTCCAGGTGCGAAGTGAAGTAGTATAGCATGCTGATGTTTGGGCTGGCCCCTCACTTACTCATTCATCCCCACAGATCATAAAACTTCGTGCTCAGACAGAAGGGATTAATATTAGTGAAGAAGCTCTGAACCACTTAGGGGAAGTTGGTACCAAGACAACTTTAAGGTAAGTTGAGCACAGTTGGCTTTTCTCTTAAGCATGACTGGGTCTAAAAACACCGTAGGGTAACGCGCTCTTGGGAGTGAGACCAACCTCTGCCATGCAGTAACGTGGTTAAGAACAGTGCTAACATTGAAAGAGAGTGGTTATCCTCTGCCACGGAATGCGTGCGCTGGGGCGCCTTGCACACTTCCTGTACCGCCGACAGGACCGCGCGTTTGCTAGCCGTCTCCCTCGCTGCATGTGTGCTGCTCCCTGGGATGCACTGAACTGTAATTATTCACGCGCCTCTGTCTGATCACAGGTATGCTGTGCAGTTACTGACCCCAGCTAACCTCCTTGCCAAGATTAATGGGAAGGACAGCATTGAGAAAGAGCATATTGAAGAAATAAATGAACTCTTCTATGATGCCAAATCCTCAGCAAAAATCTTGGCTGATCAACAGGAGAAGTACATGAAATGAAGAGCTTATCAGTACATGCTTTGAAGTGGGTTTAACCCTTACCCAGGGCTGGCTTAATTACAGAATTAGAAATGTTAATGGTTTGTCTCTTTTGGGACTGAAAAATACTTAAATGTTGGACTGCTTTGCCAGGCCGGAATTAGCCATCAGGTGTTCCCACCTCCTTATGGACAATAAGATGCTCTGTGATGTCTGTGTAACATCTTAGTCTCCTTTTTATGAGTATGTATATGACATGCATAGCTCTTGACCCCTTGGTTTTGCCTTTAGATTTCATTACAGAACAGCTCTAACTGAGGTTGATGCTTAACAGTCTATTTTCTTTATGAATGTTGTTTTAAAATAGTTTCCTTTTACAGCTGAGAGTTTTTGAGTTTGAATCCAAGTTTGTCTGAAGTGCTTTATAATAAAATATTTCAGGTATATTGGAAGCTTGCATGTGTTTGCCCTGGGTGTTGACCTGCCTAAAGAAACAGTCAAAATAAGTTGGAATTAAAGCCAAATAGGAGTGAAATGGATCAGCAACACAAAACCAGATCTACAGCAAAGGAAGGAAATAGTAATGGGACCTTTCTAAAGTGTTTGCTCGTTTGTAGGTCTTCTTTCTGTGTTCTGAAGGCTACTTTGGAGAAGGCAGAAATACATAAGGGTAACTGTTGGCCCGATTTAAAGCCTTTCTTCCAGGAAAAACTTACCCTTTCTTTGTGATTAAATAGAAATTGCTTTCCATCATGGTTAGCTACTTTTTCACCATGTTCTGTCCCCACTTTCCTGATCGCTCAGGATCAGAAAAAGATTGCAAACTGAAAACGTATGAATATTCAGACACAAAAATGGAAGTCAGCTGAACGAGGATGAAAGGGATAACCCAATAATTAGTGGTTGAAGCCCTGCTCTGCACAGACTTGGTGTGACCTTAGCCTCAGTCTGTTTGCCAGGTACGCTCCCTTGTTCTGTAAAGCATGGGAACTTGATCGCTTCGCAGCGCTCCGAGGAGAAATGATTTAAAGATTAAGATCCTTGTAACACTGACATACAAATCTCTGAAACCATGTAAACGGATGAACTAGGGAAAAAATGCAGAACCTTTCTAAAGTGACTAAGCTCACATTCTTTACTGGAACCTTCAGTGATTTAAAACACTCGAACACGTACTTCAGTAAGCGTAGTTCATGGGGGAGGGTGGCAAGGGAATAAGTAATAACTTGTCACAGGAGCCCAGTTTTAAATATCCTTCTTTTTAGCAGCTGCAAAGTGGAGAAGATGAAGTTTTAATTAATACTTCTAGTTTATCAAAATTTTGACCATGTTCCTAAACGAGCAGCCTTCTGGCAGGTACCCAAGGTACTAAGCCTTCCACGAGTCCTTCACAGGAAGTCACTGGGTCCTCACGCCAGGAGAATCTCAGTAGCACTACACGAGGCAGATGCTGGCAGTTGCTTTCTTAATTATTAATGTTTTTAAAAAGAGGTAAAAAGCACCTCTGTTACTCATTTTGCTTTCCAAAGAGGTTTTCTTTTAAGAGTTCCCGGTAGGTGGAGAAGCTAAAACGGTCACAGAGCCATAGCGTGCACGTTTGTCAAAGACGTTTACATGGCTTAATGGCTGCGTATCAAATGTCACAAAGCTTCCTTGCTACATCGTAGAATTCTGACTTCTAAAACCGATGTGTACGCCCGGTCATCATCTGTGGGGAAGGAATCCAGCTGCTAAAAACCTCTGTCCTCACCCCCAAGCTCTAGAGGCTTGTCTCTTCCTCGCGCTGAAGAGCCGTTGGTGGAAATCGCTGGTGGTTTTTCCACTCCAAAAAGCGTGGGCTAGAGAGCAGAGGCTGCTGGGGAAAAAAGCAGGGCTGGAAGGAGGCTGGATGGTCTGGATTTCATAATGTTCTGATCGCATTCTGCCATCTCAGTCATGTAACAACCTGTCCCATTCTTCAAAGTAAAATGCAGCGCTCTGTCAGCCAACCCTAATTAGCTTTTGGACTTCAAATGATCTATCTGCTCCTTCCTCTGCATCCGCAACTAAACAGTAGTGACAGAGGTATTTAGTGAATGATTTTTGGTTCATCTGTGAATATTTTTGGCCAGGGAACAATCCCGCTTTCAGACTGACCCCCCCTCTCTTACCGATGTGGAGGAAGGTGGCCGCTGTGCCATCTGCCTGATTTTCACAGCACTTCCGAAATCCCTGGGCTGTGGCAGGAGGGACGTTCTGCTCGGCACGACGGAAGGAGACCCGGCACATTAAGCTGCTGCGTGGTCAAAACTGAAAGTTCTTTCTCTGCTGCAGTTGGGAAGTCCTTGGCGATGATGGATGTCGTGATTTAAGAATATGATCCCATTTTTCTTTGCCTTTTCTGCAATATTGAACTGATCAGTGTGGAAGCTTGAATAAGCCCTGAATAATCCTGCCTGCCAGAGCTGTTCAAAGTCCCAGTCAGCATTTGAGGGTGTTGGCTTTCTAGGGGTAGATTCGGCCCTATTCACACCGCAGCAAAAGGCCTACTGGGGCGGTGACGGGTGGTGCAACACCAAAACCTTAAGACCACCGTTCCCACTGCCTGCCGTTGGCAGGAGAGGGCAGGAACTCCCTTCTCCTTGGACAAACCAATTGTTTCTTTGCTTACAAGGTGTTCTTTATAGAAATTCAAGCTCTGTAAAAGTGGGAAGAAATACCTGTTCTCACAAGTAGTAAAACAAGTGATGCTCTGTAAAACTCAAGCTGGATGGCTCAGCAGACCCCAGATATCAAGCAAAGACCTAGGAGGAAGTTAACTGTCTGCCACACACTGCAAATGAGCAGCTCCACCCGACCCTAGTTTCACAGCTGACTTCATGACTGATGGTACCTGTCACCCGAGACTGACTGTGGGTGCAGAACCGTACTGCCGGCAGGAAAACAAGATCTCAAAGTACACGTGGGGGGAGAGCAGTGGCAATCAATCTCAATTGGCATTTCTTCCCAAACCTGGAAGAGTCTAAAGAAAAATAATCATTACTTGGTCACGCTAGACCTCTGCCAAGTTAGCTGCAGCCTGTGTGGGAGTGGCGGCTGGTACGCCACAGTCCCCAGAAAGGAGCAAGAACCCTTCTGATGGGCACCGATGGAATTAGGCGCAGGGTGTGCTCAGGGGGGGTTGTCGTTACCTACTGACGGCCTCCCAAACCCTCGGCCCTGCTGCTGAGGACTCGGCCTGGTGCAAATCCGCTCGTGACACGGGCCTCATGTCTCCGTTGGGCTCGCTGGTGTTCGTACAGCAGCCCATCAGCCCCTGCCTCGTCCCTGACCGCGCCCCGGCTCCGGAGAGCTCTCCTGAGGGTGCCATCTCCAACGGCCTTTAAGTGTCTCCGAGAGACGTAAAGCTGTGATAGAAAGGGAAAATCCTTCTGCGCTAGCGGGGAGCGAATGTTTATCTGGCCTATTAAGTGACGTCCAGCAGACTTATTGGTGTCAAAGCTCTGCCCATGAAAATAGTCTTTCATATTACTGATAAAAATAGTTCTGTTGGGAGAATCCCTGCACCGTATCCTAATAGATCCTACTGATGAAGGATCTGTAAAAAAAAAGGAATACTTCCGTGACACAAAGCTGCCCCTTCAAGTGGGAAGGCATGTGCCGCAGGACACATTCCCACCCAATAAGTTTGGTTATTAATATTAAACGTGAAAGAACAAACTATTATTTTAATTCTTTCCTTCCTGTTTTCCACAGAGGTTGCACTTCATGCATTAATCTTCTAAGCGAAGTTTTTACGACCGATTGCCTGCACACTCTGAGAAGTTTCTCCATCCATTACTCGCCGGGAAACGGGCCCTGCTGTGTAGGAAAATATTTGTTACATCTTATCAGGGTGACACGTAATCTAACAACAATTACAGCAAGCCCATATTTTGTACCATTTCGGTTTCAACGTGAAAAATAGTTCTAATATTAAACCTGGGGTGGGTGGGGGTTATAGGAACCAGTTGAATATTATAAGCTGTGATTTCCTTTTGACGTGGAGCGGTGCCACACTCTGATCCCGCTCTGAGACACTGGGTACGCATAAATCTGGCGTACGTGCCTCCTGTGCAGATGCCACAGGGTGGTGGCGACTGAAAGTTGATTCGCCCTCTTTACACCCCCTCCCTGAGGGCAGAAATTGCTGCCTCTCTAGTTCCCACGCGGCCAAAAGCATCTGAAACGCAGTTAACCTTGATGAGAAAAATGGGAGATAGTCTGAAAACTGACCCACTGCTGCCCAGAAAGCACAACATCACCCACATCCCAAAAACTTTGCACCTCAAAACCTGATCCAAACGCCCTCAGTGGAAAACAACCCGCCGTGGTTCCCCTCTCACGTTGCCCTTCACTGTTCAGATGGGCACCAGCTGCGAGCGGCGCCGGGGCGTGCGCGGCAGCTCGCGGCGAGGAACGCACCACGCTGGAGGGCAGCCAGCACGAGACGAGCGATGAACCTTGCGTTAGGGACACTGGAGAATGTGCTGGTGTATCATCAGTGATGGGGTTTAGACCCCCAGCACCATGGCAGGGCCAGCAAATCGCTTGTTTGGGGGACCCTTCCTCCCCGCCGATGCCTGCACTCGGAACGTGAGCTACGTCCAC